GTGTCAAGAAACAATATCTACTTTTAGTGTAAAGAAGCAACTTCTAATGTTAGTGTAAAGAAACAACATCTAATGCTAGTGTAAAGAAGCAACATCTAATGCTACTGTAAAGAAGCAACATCTAATGTTAGTGTAAAGATACAATATTTCATGTTAGTGTAAAGAAACAGCATCTAATGTTAGTGTAAAGAAACAACATCAAATGCTAGTGTAAATAAGCAACATCTAATGTTAGTGTCAAGAAACAATATCTAATGTTAGTGTAAAGAAGCAACTTCTAATGTTAGTGTAAAGAAACAACATCTAATGCTAGTGTAAATAAGCAACATCTAATGTTAGTGTCAAGAAACAATATCTAATTTTAGTGTAAAGAAGCAACTTCTAATGCTAGTGTAAAGAAACAGCATCTAATGCTAGTGTAAATAAGCAACATCTAATGTTAGTGTCAAGAAACAGCATCTAATGTTAGTGTAAAGAAACAACATCTAATGCTAGTGTAAATAAGCAACATCTAATGTTAGTGTAAAGAAACAGCATCTAATGTTAGTGTACAGCAAAAAACACTATATATTAATCTATAGAAGCAACACCTAATGTTAGTGTAAAGAAGCAACATCTAATGTTAGTGTAAATAAGCAACATCTAATGTTAGTGTCAAGAAACAACATCTAATGTTAGTGTAAAGAAGCAACTTCTAATGTTAGTGTAAAGAAACAGCATCTAATGTTAGTGTAAAGAAACAACATCTAATGCTAGTGTAAATAAGCAACATCTAATGTTAGTGTAAAGAAACAGCATCTAATGTTAGTGTACAGCAAAAAACACTATATATTAATCTATAGAAGCAACACCTAATGTTAGTGTACAGAAACTGATAATGTTATTATAACGTACAGAAGCAACACTTAGTGTTCATGGCCGGGTGATTAGGGCGCTCGACTCGCAATGTGAGCGTTGTAGGTTCGAATCCCCGTTCCACCAATCATGGTCGCCCTTTCAACTGTGGGGCGTTATACAGTAACAGTCGATCCCACTATTCGTTGGTAAAAGAGCAGTCCAAGAGTTGGCGGTGGGTGGTGATGACTAACTGGCTTCCCTCTAGCCTTTCACTGCTAAATCAGGGGCGGTTAGCGCAGATAGCCCTCGTGTAGCTTTGTGCGAACTGCCAAAAATCCCTGCGTTAATGTAGCTTAAAGATGCAACGTTGTTTATATTATAGAAACCCCATAAAATTGTGGGGCCAGTTTTTAAGGTTTGATATTCAACCATAATATAATGTTTCAGAAATAGTTTACGAAATACAAAACTACTTACGTTTCGATAGTCGAGGGTTATGATCGTTTCTCTGGAAAACAGTGGGCTAGTTTCATTATCAGAATCCGGTGTTTGTTCCGTAAGGGTAAGTATATGTTGATAATCTGGTAAAAATGTAAATATTTAATATAAAAATCTCTCCAGGCATCTGATCAGTTGATAAAAATAATCGGTCATTCAATTTATGTTACATATATAGCTGACTCACAAAAACTTATGTCACTCGTCACTATGGAGTTTAAAGTTTTCCAATCAGCTCATTGGTCAAGGATATATCTGAAACAAGACGTGAATGTTTCATTAATATGTGAATAGTCATCGGATAAACGGAATCCAGCCAATCACAACAAAGTGCTTTATATTGACTACAAGCGTCTTTAAGTATCCCATCCTGTCAATAGACTTTAGAAACTGAAAACGTGGTAGTAGTGTAATACGTCAGATCCTGTCAATAGACTTTAGAAACTGAAAATGTAGTAGTAGGGGAATACGTCACATCCTGTCAATAGACTTTAGAAACTGAAGATGTAGTAGCAGGGTAATACTTCACATCCTGTCAACAGACTTTAGAAACTGAAGATGTAGTAGCAGGGGAGTACGTCATATCCTGTCAATAGACTTTAGAAACTGAAGATGTAGTAGTATGGAAATACGTCACATCCTGTCAATAGACTTTAGAAATTGAAGATGTAGTAGTAGGGAAATACGTCACATCCTGTCAACAGACTTTAGAAACTGAAGATGTGGTAGTAGGGGAATACGTCACATCCTGTAAACAATTTAGAAACTGAAGATGGATTAGTAAGGGAGACGTCATATCTTGTAAACAATTTAGAAACTAAAGATGGATTAGTAAGGGAGACGTCATATCTTGTAAACAATTTAGAAACTAAAGATGGATTAGTAAGGGAGACGTCATATCTTGTCGACAGACTTTAGAAACTGAAGATGTGGTAGTAGGGGAATACGTCATATCTTGTAAACAATTTAGAAACTAAAGATGGATTAGTAAGGGAGACGTCATATCTTGCCAACAGACTTTAGAAACTGAAGATGTGATGGTAGGGAAATACGTCACATCCTGTCAACAGACTTTAGAAACTGAAGATGTGGTAGTAGGGGAATACGTCACATCCTGTAAACAATTTAGAAACTAGAGGTGGATTAGTAAGGGAGACGTCATATCTTGTCAAGACACTTCAAAATCTAAAGATGGAGTAGGAAAAGGTTAACACATGACCTTGTCAACAATATAATTATAAACATATAATATCAGTTCCAGGTTGTTCGTAGTGACCATAATCCATACCGATGTGAAATGTCCAGAAGTCATACAAGTAAGCAAGTTATATTTGTACTTCAGATCACACAATTAAGGATTATTGACGATGTGAAATGTCCAGAAGTCATACAAGTAAGCAAGCTACATTTGTACTTCAGATCACACAATTAAGGATTATTGACGATGTGAAATGTCCAGAAGTCATACAAGTAAGCAAGCTACATTTGTACTTCAGATCACACAATTAAGGATTATTGACGATGTGAAATGTCCAGAAGTCATACAAGTAAGCAAGCTACATTTGTACTTCAGA